GGCATTAATTACCTCGTTAATTACCTTGTTAATTACCTTGTTAATTACCTCGCTCCTTTGTCGACACCCCCCCCCCCCCCGACCCCCCTCCCTGCTCAATCGGCTCATTAAACAGCAATTAATTAGTAATTAACGGCCCCCCCTGGGCGCTCGCATCACCCCGCATTGTCCTCATTAATTACCCCCGCTAATTAGCGCAGCCCATGGGTCAAGCCATTAGCTCGCCCCGTAATTTACCCCACCAGTAGTTCCCATTCATTAACTCCCTTCTTAATTAACCCCATCAGCCATCACCCACATTAATCACCCCATCCCCATTAATTGCCCCCGCTAATTAGCACAGCCCATTAGCCAACCTATTAACCCCCCCCTAATTAACCCCAAGACTCATCACCCACCTGCATTAATTACCCCATCCTCATTAATTACCGTTAATTAGCACAGCCTGCTATTAACCCCCCCTTAATTAACCCCAACTCATCACCCACCTGCATTAATTACCCCATCCTCATTAATTACCCCCATTAATTAGCACAGCCCGCTATTAACCCCCTCTTAATTAGCTCCAAGACTGATTACCCACCCATGTTAATTACCCCATCGTCATTAATTAGCCCTATTAGCACACCCTGCTATTAACCCCCCCCAATTAACCCCAAGACTCATCACCCACCTGCATTAATTACCCCATCCCCATTAATTACCCCCGTTAATTAGCACAGCCCGCTAATTAAGCTGTTCATTCACACCTTAATTAACCTCATGAGGAGTTCCCATTAGCTAATTAACTCAACCCTCAATTAACCCCACGAATTGCCCACCCACATTAATTACACCCTTTCCCATTAATGAGCTCAGCTCATTAGTGAGCCTATTCAGTCCTTAATTAACCCCATCAATCACCCATCTGCATTAATTACCCCCATTAATTGCCCCATTAATGGCGCCAATCTCTGTTAATCGCCCCTATCCTTATTAAGGATATCTTAATCTCAACTTATTCCCCTAATTATCCTTAATTACCCTGTCCCCATTAATTAAGCCACTAATTGACACACTAGTCATACTCACACCCATTAATTACACACCTTAATTACCCCTAAACCCATTAATTGTTCTATTAATGGCTTCTACCTCCATTGATAACCCCATTCTCATTAATTACTCTCAATTTATTACTCTTAATTTATCGATCCCATTAATTAAGCCATTAATTGACACATTACTTGCATTCACGCCCACTAATTGCCCACACCTCCGTTAATTACCCACTAATTGCCTCACAAACCGCTCGTTTATGCCATCATTAGTCACTGATTGCCTCTCCCTCATCACTGATTGCCTCAATGCCCATTAATTACTGTGCTAATCACCCCATTAACAGCTGCACAAATTGCTGATCTACCTATTTATCATTAATCGCCCCTCTCTTTGTTAATTATGTCAATCCCCATTAATTATCCTGATAATTACCCTACTAATTGTGCCAAACCCATTAATCGCCCCTTCCCGAATCCCCACGCGTTATTAATTGCTGTTAATTAGAGCTAATGACTGCAGTTCATTAATTAATTATTAATTGCTGCGCGTGACATCGCATCATTAATTAACATTAATTACGGTAATTAAGCCACCCATTAATTACCGTTGACGGCGACGGCGGAGCTTCCATGGCATCCTATGGGCTGTGGGGACAACGGGGTCATTGGAGTCATTGAGGTCATTGGGGTCATTGGGGTCAATGGGGTCATTGGGGTCACTGGGGTCATTGGGGTCATTGGGGTCAATGGGGTCAATGGGGACATTGGGGACATTGGGGTCATTGGGGTCATTGGGGTCATTGGGGTCATTGGGGTCAATGGGGACATTGGGGACATTGGGGTCATTGGGGTCATTGGGGTCATTGGGGTCACGGGTCATTGGGGTCATTGGGGACAATGGGGTCAATGGGGTCATTGGGGTCATTGGGGTCAATGGGGCCAATGGGGTCATTGGGGTCATTGGGGTCACTGGGATCAATGGGGTCATTGGGGTCACTGGGGTCATTGGGTCATTGGGGTCACTGGGGTCATTGGGTCATTGGGGTCAATGGGGTCATTCGCTCATAATGGGGTCAATGGGGTCATTGGGGTCATTAAGGTCATTGGGGTCATTGGGGTCATTGGGGTCACTGGGGTCAATGGGATTAATGGGGACAAAGGGTTGAATGGGGGTCAGGTGACCGCAGGCTCGGCTGCTCATTGGCTCTCACCGCGCTCTGGCGCCGGCCCCAGCAGCGCCTTCATGGCACGCAGCCATTGGCTGGGCGGCACCTGGCTCCGCCTCACGGCCTCCTGAATGACAGATGGGTGACCTCTGACCTCTGACCTCTGACCTCAGCGTGTCAGCCCACCCCAGCTGTGCCCCATAGCACCCCATAGAGCCCCATAGGGACCCATAGGGACTCACAGAGACCCATAGAACCCCATAGGGACCCACAGAGATCCATAGGGACACATAGAGACCCACAGAGACCCATAGGGACCCATAGAGACCCATAGAGACCCATAGAGACCCACAGAGACCCATAGAGACCCACAGGGACCCATACCGACACATAGAGACCCATAGGGACCCATACCGACCCATAGAGCCCCGTAGGGACCCATAGGGACCCATAGGGACCCCAAAAATCCCATAAATCCCACAGAGACCTATAGGGACCCATAGGGACCCATAGAGAACCTTAACACCCCACTGCACCCCAAAGATACCACAGCCCCCATTCAGACCCCATAAATCCCACACAGACCCAGCAAATCCCATCCAGACCCCACAGACCTGATACAAACCCCATAAATCCCATAGACCCCACAAACCCACACAAACCCCACAAATCCCACACAGACCCAACAGATCCCATAGAGAACCCACAGATCCTACACAGACCACATAGACCCCACAGACCCCATAAATCCCATACAGACCCCACAGACCCCACAAATCCCACACAGACCCCACAAACCCCATAAATCCAATACAGACCCCACAAATCCCATACAGACCCCATAGACCCCACAGACCCCATAAATCCCAAACAGACCCCACAAATCCCACACAGACCCCACAGACCTCACAAATCCCATACAGACCCCATAAATCCCATACACACCCCACAAAGACCCCACAGATCCCATACAGACCCCACAGACCACATAGAAACCCCACAAATCCCATACAGAACCCACAGAGTCCACACAGACCCCACATATCCCATACAGACCCCACAAATCCCACACAGACCCCATAAATGGCACAAATCCCATACAGACCCCACAAATCCCATACAGACCCCATAAATCCCATACACACCCAACAGACCCCATAAATCCCATACAGACCCCATAAATCCCACACAGACCCCACAAATCCCATACAGACCCCATAAATCCCATACAGACCCCATAAATCCCACACAGACCCCACAAATCCCATACAGACCCCATAAATCCCACACAGACCCCATAAATCCCATACAGACCCCATAAATCCCATACAGACCCCACAAACCCCACAAATCCCACACAGACCCCACAAATCCCATACAGACCCCCACAGAACCCACGGACCCCATAGAGAACCCACAGATCCTACACGGACCCCATAGACCCCACAGACCCCATAAACCCCATACAGACCCCACAGATCCCAGACCCCACAAATCCCATACAGACCCCATAAATCCCACACAGACCCCACAAATCCCACACAGACCCCATAAACCCCCCCCCCCCCCGCACCGGGTCCCACAGCCGTCCCACAATGCATTGCAGCGACTCGGGCCGGATCCCAGCCTGGATCACAGAGCGGAGATTGCGGAGCAGCGCCAGCAGGGGGAGCTGGGAGGAGACTGGGGGGAGATGGGGGAGATGGGGGAGATGGGGGAGATGGGGGGGATGGGGGGGATGGGGTCAGTTACGGGGTGAGATATGGGATCAGATATGGGGTCAATTATGGGGTGAGATATGGGTTCAGTTATGGGGTCAGTTATAGGGTGAGATATGGGGTGAGATATGGGGTGAGATATGGGGTCAGATATGAGGTCAGATATGGGGTCAGATATGGGGTCAGGTATGGGGTCAGATATGGGGTCAGATATGGGGTCAGATATGGGGTCAGTTATGGGGTCAGATATGGGGTCAGTTACGGGGTCAGATATGGGGTCAGATATGGGGTCAGTTATGGGGTCAGTTATGGGGTCAGTTATGGGGTGAGATATGGGGTCAGTTATGTGGTCAGTTATGTGGTCAGTTATAGGGTGAGATATGGGGTGAGATATGGGGTGAGATATGGGGTCAGATATGGGGTCAGTTATGGGGTCAGATATGGGGTCAGATATGGGGTCAGATATAGGGTCAGATATGGGGTCAGTTATGGGGCAGTTATGTGGTCAGATATGGGGTCAGTTATAGGGTGAGATATGGGGTCAGATATGGGGTCAGATATGGGGTCAGTTATGGGGTGAGATATGGGGTCAGTTATGGGGTCAGTTATGGAGTCAGTTATGGGGTCAGTTATGGGGTCAGTTATGTGGTCAGTTATGGGGTGAGATATGGGGTCAGATATGGGGTGAGTTATGGGGTCAGTTATGGGGTCAGATATGGGGTCAGTTATGTGGTCAGATATGAGGTCAGATATGGGGTCAGTTATGGGGTCAGATATGGGGTCAGATATGGGGTCAGTTACGGGGTCAGATATGGGGTCAGTTATGGGGTGAGATATGGGATCAGTAATGGGGTCAGTTATGGAGTCAGTTATGGGGTCAGTTATGGGGTGAGATATGGGATCAGTTATGGGGTCAGTTATGGAGTCAGTTATGGGGTCAGATATGGGGTCAGATATGGGGTCAGTTATGGGGCAGTTATGTGGTCCGATATGGGGTCAGTTATGGGGTGAGATATGGGGTCAGCACCGACCAATCAGGCGCTGCCACGTCACGGCGCGGGGGATCCTGGCCACGCCCCCAGCGCTCAGCGCCCGCTCCCAGGTGTCCGGGGGGGTCAGCCGGGGTCGGGGGTCAGAGGTCATCATCCTGGGGGTCAAAGGTCAGCGGGGTGACAGTCAGGAGGCGCTGAAGACCATTAACTGCCCTCAAAATCCCATTAATGGCCCCAAAATCCCATTAATGGCCCAAAAATGCCCCCCAAATCACCATGAACTTCGGAAAATTCCCATTAATGGCCCCAAAATTCACATTTTATCCCCAAATTCCCCACTATTGTCCCCAAAATGACCCCAAATCCCCATTTATGTCCCCAAAATCCCCAGTTCTGTCCCTCAAAAGTCCCAAAATCCCCGTTTCTGACCCCAAAATCCCCTTTATAGCCCCAAAATCCCCATTTCTGACCTCAGAATCCCCATTTCTGACCCCAAAATGTCCCCAAATCCCCATTTCTGACCTTCAATGATCCCAAAATCCCCATTTCTGACTCCAAAATCCTCATTCCTGACCCCAAAATCCCCATTTGTGACCCCAAAATCCCCACCTGCGGCCCAGCAGCGCAGCCACGTTCTCCCTGGGCTCACTGATGTGCAACCGGCGCACGAGGGAACGCAGTGAGAAAAGGGATGGGGGCAACGAGTCCTGCGGGTCACAGAGCCAAAATGGACCCAAAATGGACCCAAAATGGACCCAAAATGGACACAAATGGACACAAAATGGACCCAAATGGACCCAAATGGACACAAAATGGAACCAAATGG